AGCGTGCGCTTGGTGGGCTGAGATGAGCAGAGAGGCTTTTAGCCTCGCCCTTTCTCGGTGACATTGTCCAGAAGGGTGAGTGCTTCTGGAGCGGCTGCAGCAGCCCGGTGTCAGCAGCCGTGCCCTGCAGGAGAGCACAGCCTTTCCTCTCGCCTCGCTGCCTCGGCTGCAGCTCCCGCTGTGCACTCGGCGAGCTCAGGGAAAGCTTAGCAGCCCGTGCTGCCTCTCCCGAGGGAAGCCTGCAGGCAGGAGCTGCTGTCTATTTGTGCCCTCTGCCTGCAGAAGGGCCCGTGGGCAGCGCTGTCCCCGGCCTCCCCCTGCTGTGGGGGCTGGGAGGGGGTTTGGTCTGGCTTGCAGAGGCTGCCTGGAGCTTTCTGCTCCGTTTCCTCCCGCCAGACAGCGCGGGTATTTTTGGCTGCGGTGCGTGCTGTGCCTTTCCGCTTCCCTGTGCCGTGAGGAGCGCTGCCACACATGGGATGGGACCCCATCCCTCCCTCCTGCTGGCACACGGCGTGCTTGGTGGAGCACTTGGAAAGGTTCCTCTCTCCAGCACCCAGGAAGGTGTTCCTCTGAGTGAGATGTCTTGGTATTTTCAGCCACAGCCAAGTCTGGTAACTCCTTGAATTCTCCCTGTCCCTTCCCTTCAACAGTCCCAGTGTCTGGAACTTAGAATCACAGTGGAATCACTGAATGCTTTGGGCTGGAAGGGATCTTAAGGCTCATTGTCAGAACCCCAGCCTGATTTAGGGGCTCCGTGGGGTGGAAAAGTCTCCTCCAACCCGAGCTTCCAAAGAAAGGCTCAGCAGTCTCTGTTGCTCAGTCTCAAGGCAGTTTATTGCAAGTTGTTATCTAAAAGATTTTCTCCTTGAGCTGCTGTGGTTTGCTCACAGCTCAGGCAGAGGCACACACACCCTGACATCCTCTCTGACTCCCGACTGCTTCTTCTCTCCCCACCAGGGCTGCTGCTGTCTTTTATATGGTACATTACGTGTTACACGGTTACAGTTTTTCCCCAATGCCTATTACCTATATTAAATGGTGCTTTTCTATCTTTTATATGGTACATTACGTGTTACATGTTTACAGTTTTTCCCCAATGCCTATTACCTATATTAAATGGTGCTTTTCTATTCTAAACCAATCCATAAATGCCAACATCACCAGGAGCATGGAGGTAAGGAAGAAGAAAGAGGAGGAACAGGACCGGCCTACATTCCTCCATCTTAAAACCTCTGACCCCCATGTACAAAACTAAAACCCCCCTGTACAGTTGTTAAACCCCCCTTGTACAGCACTAAAAAATTCTTCCCTTTACTTTGTGACTACTTCTACTGTAATATCTAAACTTTTGTGACTTCTTGTTCTTCCTGCAAGGTTGATAAATCATTCCATGGCTCAAACCCAAAATCACAGCTGTTTCCAGCTGCCTGCCAGGGTCTCAAATGCCTCCAACCAGGGTCTGGAACATCCAAAAATGTCTGAGGGACATTTTGAGTTCCAACAGCTCATCTCATCCATGGGCATGGACACCTTCCATTATCCCAGGTTGCTCCAATCCCCATCCAATCTGGCCTGGGACACTTCCAGGGCTGGAGCAGGCATAGCTGTTCTGGGCAACCTGTGCCAGGGTTTCACCACCTCCATCCCTTCCTGCTCTTTCTCCTGCTCCTGACCCTGAATCCCAGTCAGGGTGACACTCAGGTCCAGGCTCTAGACCTGCCAGCTGATCTCTTCCAATTTAGCTGTTCCAGCCTATCTTTACCCCACTTGGCTGAATTTTGAGAAGGTGCCCATGGAAGTCACAGTTGGCGCCAAGGCTATTGATTTTGCTGCCTGAGGGGAGGGCACGGGACTGGAATGTGGGTGGGATGAGCACAATCCTTCTCTAAAAATGCTAATGGAAACTCTATCCCCAAAACAAGACGGATGAGCTCCAGGATGAACTCCAGGCTCCCGTTTCCACAGCTGCTTGGTTCTGTGCTCCCCTGTAACCTTCCCCTGAGGCGTGTGTGTGCTCCCTCCTGTGCTCCAGCTGTGCTGGAATGCTGTCCATGCTCACCTCCTCTCCTCTCCTGTCCCTGGCAGCGGCTGGATCGCGGCGCTGTCGGAGGTGCACGGGAACGTGGCCGTGGTGGTGATCATGATGGTGGTGGCAGCGTTCTTCACGCTCTGTGCCGTCCTCTCCCTCTTCCTCCTCAAGCAGGTGAGTGGCTCCGGGGCCAGCAGAGCTCAGGCTGCCCCCAGGGCTCGTGGTTTGACACCTCCCTTCACCCACCTGGGAGTGATGATGGGATGGTGGGTCAAGAGGTTTTAATTAAAGTAGTTTTGCTTGTGCTTCCTGCAGCGATGCCAAGTTTTTTGGACACTCTTGAAGTGGGAAGTAGCCTCCCTTTGGAGTCACAGAATCATGAAATTATTTTGGAAGGGACCTTAGAACTCCCCCTACCTCCTGCCAAAGGGCAGGGACACTTTCCACTATCCCAGGGTGCTCCAAGCCCTGTCTAACCTGGCCTGGAACATCTCCAGGGATCCCGGGGCAGCCACAGCCTCTCTGGGCAACCTGTGTCAGGGCCTTCTCACCCTCACAGAGGAGGATTTTTCCCCTGATACCCCATCTAACCCTGCCCTCTGGCAGTTTAAAACCATTGTCCCTTGTGCCTGGAGCTGGCAGAGCAGAGGTGGCCATGGCTCTGTTCAGCATCCAGGGATTTTCAGTCACTGCTCCCACAGCATTTTGGGGCTTTTCAAAGCCTGGTGGGATCCCAGCGAGTGCCTTCCCCCTGGTTCTTAAGCCCAGCCCTCCTCCCTCCTCCTGCCTGACAGCAGCAGGGCTGGATTTCTGCAGGAGCAGCAGAAATGGAGCCTGGGGAAGGCAAGGACGGGCTGGACTGATCCTGTTTCTGTTGGTGCTTCCATCTGCTCTCCTGCCTTTATCCTGGTGCTGTTGGCACTTTCAGGTCCTGCGCTCCAGGAAACACTGGGTTAAATCTGAGCCATCACAGTATGGGGAGTTTTGGGTCTGAAACCAGCAATTTTGGGTGAGAGCTTCACATTTTTCAGCAAAGAAAGGTCTCCTGAAATCCACAGCACGCGTTTGCTAGGAGCCATGGAGGCATGGGCTGCTTCGCCAAGGGAAAGCTGGATGTGTGCAGCAATCCCACGGCCACAGGCTGATTTCATTCCCTGTTTCCCTCCCCTGTGTGCAGCAATCCCACGGCCACAGGCTGATTTCATTCCCTCTTTCCCTCCCTTCTTGTCCCCAGGTGCATTCCCTGTATCGGCGCACAGGAGCCAGCTTCCAGAGGGCGCAGGAGGAGTTTTCCCAAGGCATCCTCACCAACAGAAGCTTCCAGAACGCAGCAGCTGGGGCGGCCTCCTCGGCTGCACAGAGTGCTTTCCGGGGAAACTAACCCTTCCCGGGAAATCCAGCCCTTCTTCCCGGGAAATCCAGCCCTTCTTCCCGGGAAATCCAGCCCTTCTTCCCAGGAAATCCAGCCCTTCTTCCCGGGAAATCCAGCCCTTCTTCCCAGGAAATCCAGCCCTTCTTCCCGGGCTGCCTCCCTCTCGCTTCCTCTGCCCTCATCTTCCCAACCTTCTTTTTTTAATTTTTTTTTTTCCTGAAAATGCACTTTTTTGGGGGGTATCATGTGAGCTCTGTGATGCCGACACTCCTGATGAGAAGGTTTTTTTTTGGCTTCAGCTGAGCTACGGTTTGGATGATCAGTTTTACCTGTCTTGTTTTGGGGTGTGGGGAGATGGGGGAAGACATTCTCTGAGGTAGATATTCCTCTTTCCAGGACCTTCCAGGTGTTTGTCTCTTCCTCCCCTCACTCTGTCTGTAGCAGGAAGATGAGGGGAAGCAAGTTTTTGATTTTACTCTCTCTTCTCTTGGCCTTTGCTCTGAAGAACTTGATTATCTACTGTTTTGGGAGGGTTTTGTAATGTGCATGTAGTTGATGTTGTTAATTTTAAGACCAGAAACCGTACTTCTGATTTATTACACTCACACAATGCTGTATTTTGACCTCATAACTGCTGGGCTTCCTGAGAGCCAGGAACGAAAATCTAGGAGCAGGGGGGAGTGTGTGGGAGTGTATTTCCCCTGGTGCCCCCAGGGCACATCCCTTGCTTCCACGAGGATCCTGCAGGTGCCAGCCCTGGGCACGGAGAGGAGGAGAAGGGAATTGGTGGAGGCTGAGTCTTCTCGGTGACTTGAAACCAGGAGAGGGAGGGAAAAGGGATGTTGGTTTGGCTCCCAGCTCCAGCTTTGGCAGCTGAGGATGCTGGGTCACACAGTGCCTGTGACGCCCTTCTCCAGCTAACCTTGGATGAGTCTTTCTCTAGGGAAGGCTCCTCCCTGCCTTCCTCCTCACGAGTTTAATTGTTTTTTAGCTGGGAAGGAACTGTTTTCGTGTGTGTTCAGCTGCATCCCACGCTGGGATGTCCCTTGGGATGTGGATGGGGACAGGTTCCCACCTCTCCCTCCTTCAGCCCCGTGGTTTGGGTGTGGGGGAGAGGGTTTCATGCAGATTTGGCTTTGTGGTGCCCCTTTGCCGGGCTGGGGGTTGTATTAGACCCGCATCCCGTGCCGGTGAGGGGCGGCAGGGGGGCGCTGGGATTCAGAAATCGGTATTTTTACACCCTTTTCCTTCTGTATTATTGGAATTTTTTTTTTCCCCGCGTCTGATCTTTTAATGTTTAAAAAATTATTAATAAAAACTGTTCATGTGGTCCAGATACGGTGCCCGCGCCGGTTGAGGGGGGCGTGGCCAGTGTATGGGCGTGTCTATGGACGTGGTATTGTATTGTGATTGGTTGGGGTGTGGTCAATGTAAATGAGGTGAGTCGGGGGCGTGGCTTGATTCCATATGAATGGTGTGTGAGCGTGGTCATGACTGATGGAGGCGTGGCCTGGAATTGTGATTGGTTGGGGTTGGCTCGGGGGCGTGGCTTGTTGCGGTATGAATGACGTGTGGGCGTGGCCGGGCGCCGCAGGGGGCGTGGCCGGGCCGTGGCGCGCCGGGAAGGCGGAAGCGGCTCCCGGGCAGCGGGGCCGGGGCTCCGCAGGGGCCATGGCCGGGGCCGGCTGGGCCCCGCCGCGCCTCGACGAGTTCATCCTCACCGAGCCCCTCGGCTCGGGCACCTACGCCACCGTCTACAAGGCCTACAGGAAGGTAGGGCCGAGCCCGCCGCGGGGGTCGCCTTTTTGCTCCCGAATCTGCCCCCCCCACGCCCGTGGGATCCCCGTTTTCCAGTGGTCCACATGGGGTACCACCCCCATAGCCCTTGCCTGGCACCTGCTGCCCCCTTGAAGGGGGTTTTTCCCTCCCGTCCCTACGCGGCGGGCTGGGGGAGCAGCCCCGGGTGGCTCTTTGGGGGTGGGGGTGCAGCGTTGTCGCCCCTCCTCGGCAGAGGGACACCCGTGAGGTGGTGGCCATCAAATGTGTCAACAAGAGGAGCCTGAACCGGGCATCGGTGGAGAACCTGCTGATGGAGATCGAGATCCTCAAGACCATCCGCCATCCCAACATTGTGGAGCTCAAGGACTTCCAGGTGGGCTGGGGGCTTCCCGGGGGGCCTCCGAGCCAGAACTTCTCTGGCTTGGATCCATCCCCGCTTCCCGCGGGTGTATCCGTGGGGCTTGGTGCCAGCAACTGGGCAAACTGGTCCAGGTGAAGCTGTGTGGGTGGGACTGGCTGGGGTGGCACGGCAGGGTCTCGTTGCCCCGCAGTGGGACAGTGAGCACATCTACCTGATCATGGAGTTCTGCGCCGGGGGGGACCTCTCCCGCTTCATCCGGATGCGCCGGATGCTCCCCGAGAAGGTGGCACGCGTCTTCCTGCAGCAGCTCGGTGAGGACACCCCGCCTGGCTCCCGCTCTGGCTCTGCTGGGGACCCTTCCCCGGGGTTTTGGGGCGCAGGGCTGCGCTATCACGCGCCCATCCACCCGCCCAGCCTGTGCCCTGAAGTTCCTGCACGACCACAACATCTCCCACCTGGACCTGAAGCCGCAGAACATCCTCCTGAGCGCCCCGGAGAACCCCCAGCTGAAGCTGGCAGGTCAGGGCAGCCCCTGGCAGGGGCTGGGAGGGGGCAAATCCCTTCTCCCTGGGCCCCCACGAGCTCTCTGTTGGGCAGATTTCGGCTTTGCTCAGTACATGTCCCCGTGGGACGAGAAGCACGTGCTGCGCGGCTCCCCGCTCTACATGGCCCCCGAGATGGTGTGTCGGCAGCACTACGACGCCCGCGTGGACCTCTGGTCGGTGGGCGTCATCCTTTACGGTGGGTTTGGCTTTTATTGCCCTGGGGGGCTCTACTCAGGGCTGGTTTCCCCCTCTCCATCTCCCCCCACTGCTCCTTCCCCCCCCTACCACAGAAGCACTTTTTGGGAAGCCGCCCTTTGCTTCCCGCTCCTTCGCCGAGCTGGAGGAGAAGATCCGCAGCGACCGGGCTGTGGAGGTAACGTGGGGTGGGGTGGGGCTGGGGGTGCTCTCACAGCGCTCAGTGGGCTCAGCCCCTTCCTTCCCCAGCTTCCCAGCCGGCCCCAGCTCTCTCAGGAATGCCGGGATCTCTTGGGACAGCTGCTGGAGAGGGACCCTCGGAAGCGCATCTCCTTCGAGTGCTTCTTTGCCCACCCCTTCGTGGACATGGAGCACATCCCCGGCCCCGAGAGCCTGGGCAAGGCGGTGAGCGGGGCTGGGGGCTGCAGCCTGGCAACGGGGGCGTTCCAAGCCCTGAGACCCCCCTTTGTGTCCCCCAGACCGACCTGGTGGTGGAGGCGGTGAGGAAGGATCAGGAGGGAGACGCCGGTGCCGCCTTCTCCCTCTACCGCAAAGCCCTGGAGTATTTCGTGCCAGCACTGCACTGTGAGTCCCCGGGGGGCTGCGTGGGGCCTGGGTGTGTTTCTGGGGGGGCAGCACCCCGGGGGAGTCCAGCTTTTAGCCCACTCACCCCGTGTTTGGTCATTCTCCCCCGTAGATGAAAGCGACGCACGGCGCAAAGAAGCCATCCGGGCCAAGGTGAGCCAAAACCCGGATGGTTTTGGGTGGGTTTGGGTGGTTTCTGGGGGGTGGGGGCAGCACCTCCATCCTCTGCACCCCATATCAGGGGTCTCCTCACCCCCATGATGTGCACAGGTGAGGCAGTACATCTCCCGAGCTGAGGAGCTGAAGGTGTTGGTCACCTCCAGCAACAAGAACCTCCTGGAGAAAGGAAACCCGGCCAGAGAGCTCCTTAAAGGTACTGATTTTTGCCCGTCCCCGGGTGTCGGAGCTGGCAGGGGCCGTGGTGGGGTTTTGGGCTGAAGGGTGAAGGTTTTGGGCAATCCCGGTAGCCGTGTCCCCTTGCAGAGATGGCCAAGGACAAGCCCCGGCTCTGCGCGGCGCTGGAAGTGGCTTCAGCTGCCATTTCCAAGGTGAGGGGTGGCCTTGGGGGTCCCCTCACCCCTCGAGGGAAGGGGGAGCTGCAGACCTGGTGGGGAGGGGGCTGCTGGACCCCCCCAGGCACAGCCAGCCCCTGGGGCCTCTTGCAGGAGGAGGAAGGCAGGGATGACAGTGACGCCCTGGAGCTGTACCAGCAGAGCCTGGGGGAGCTGCTGCTGCTCCTGGCCGGTGAGTTGGGGCTGAGGCCGGGGTTCTGGGGCCAGGATGGGTCCTGCTCCCATCCCTCATCCCGTGGCACATTTCCCCTGCAGCGGAGCCGGCGGGGCGGCGGCGGGAGCTGCTCCACGCCGAGGTGAGTGCCAGCCCTGGGACACCCGGCCGTCCCTGGTGGCCTGGCTCCAGAGGGACTGTGTCCTCTCTCTGTCCCCACCAGATCCAGACCCTGATGGCCCGAGCCGAGTACCTGAAGGATCAGATCAAGGTAGGATGACTGGGGGGGGGCTCTGGAGCGTGCTGGGGGAGGATAAAGGCTGGAAAATCCCCTTCTCCCTTGGCAGATGCGGGAGGCACAATCCATGGGCAAAGAGGCGCTGGCAGAGTCGGTCCGGAGCGGTGAGTCGCCCTTTGCCACGGGCACTTGGGCGAGGTTCCCCAGCCGTGGGGATGTCCCTGCCCGCGGCTGACCCCAGCCCCACCCAGCCCGCTCCCTCGGCATGGCCCCGTCCCCACCGGGATCCCCCTGGGTGGTGGGGACAGCCCGGTGTGCCCAGGACAGCCCGGTGTGCCCGGGACAGCCCGGTGTGCCCGGGGACAGCCCGGTGTGCCCGGCACAGCCCGGTGTGCCTGGGGACAGCTCAGTGTGCCCGGGGACAGCCCGGTGCGCCTAGGGACAGCCCGGTGAGCCCGGCACAGCCCGGTGCGCCTGGGGACAACCCGGTGTGCCTGGGACAGCCCGGTGAGTCCCTGTGTGCCCCGGCACAGCCCGGTGAGTGCAGGGACAGCCCGGTGAGTCCCTGTGTGCCCGGCACAGCCCGGTGAGTCCGGGGACAGCCCGGTGAGTCCCGGTGTGCCCCGGCACAGCCTGTACCTTGCAGTGACTCCCGGAGCTGCCCCGTCGGACGCTGCTCGCTGCCTGCCCGGAGATGCCGGCGCCGGGACANCAGCCCGGTGTGCCTGGGGACAGCCCGGTGTGCCAGGCACAGCCCGGTGTGCCTGGGGACAGCCCGGTGTGCCCGGGACAGCCCGGTGTGCCCGGCACAGCCCGGTGTGCCTGGGGACAGCCCGGTAAGTCCCTGTGTGCCCCGGCACAGCCCGGTGTGCCCGGGACAGCCCGGTGTGCCTGGGGACAGCCCGGTGTGCCTGGGGACAGCCCGGTGAGTCCGGGGACAGCCCGGTGAGTGCAGGGACAGCCCGGTGAGTCCGGGGACAGCCCGGTGAGTCCCCGTGTGCCCCGGCACAGCCTGTACCTTGCAGTGACTCCCGGAGCTGCCCCGTCGGACGCTGCTCGCTGCCTGCCCGGAGATGCCGGCGCCGGGACAAGGCTTTGGTCCCCTGCACCGGGGTGACACCCGGGGGTCACCCTTGGGCTCCCAGCCCCGGGGGGCTCGGCGGGGCCATCTGCCCCTCTCCCAGGCGCTGGCTCATTTCCCTGCCAGCCCTGCCTCGACCGTCTGCTGCTGCAGCCTCCCCTGCCACAGCGGCCGGGTTATTCCACTCTAATTCCCTCCGCTGGCTCCGTGGCAAGGGTATTTTTATCCTGGCACTGGGCTCTGGCAGGACATCCCCCCTGCTTTTTCAGCTGGGTGGTTCTTCAACCTCCTAAATTCTGGGAGAGCCCACACGAACCACAAATCCGGCCGGGAGCTGAGGGTGGGCAGGGATGCTCCGCTGTGCCTTCCTCGCCCAGCACCTACCTCTGCATCCGCCGCTGCTCGGCCAGCCTCCAGCACCCGCTGCACTGGCCCTGCCCGGCCATCCTGCCTGCCTCTCGCTGCTGGAGCTCTGGGAATGAGGCTTTTCCTTCCTAAACCTGGAGCCCTGCCTCTCACTGCTGGAGCTCTGGGAATGAGGCTTTTCCTTCCTAAACCTGGAGCCTGGCAGTTCTGGCTGCATCTCAGTGTCACCACCGCGAGCAGCGCTCGGCGGGGACCGATTGAGTCGGGCACGAGCAGCAGTCAGTCACCTTCAGGGGGACACTCTCAGCATCCCGCCTGCCCTGCTCCACTCCTCAGGGCCCTGATCTCAAAAACATCCAAATCATATTCCCAGGAGTCATTGTTATGGGGTGCTGATGTTGCCTGTCCTGCAAAACAAGGTACTTGTCTCAAAATCTACTGTATCTCAAGGGAATGTAATTTATTGTCTTTAATAAACTTTAATTTTGATTTCTCCACCTCCTCTGCACTCAGATTTGTGATTTAAGCCTCCGGGGGGGTCCCCAGGCAAACCCAGGACCCAGAGGCCACCTGGGGTCCTGGAGGCATCGAGGCGGGCTGGGGACCCTCGTGTCTGTTCCCCCAGGAGCAGAGCTGGGGTGTCCCCTCCTCTGCTCCAGCAGTGCTGTTCCTTCCTGTGCTCCCCAGGGACACGAGGCAGCCAAAGCAAGGTTTGACCTTGTTTTCACTTCCCATCTTTTTTATTTTTCTGTGTGTGTGGAAAACACGGAGCAGAACGACACGAGCCGTTACGTAAAACCCTCTTTCCTCCAATAGATTCTTGTGGCGGGTGAGGAAGGGCCGGGCTGAGCCGTGAGGGGAAGCCGAAGGGCTGAAGCGAACAATGGGAGGATTTTTGGGGTGTCCCACAGATATTCTGAGCCATGACCTCTTCCCAAGACAGCCTCCCCCGACACCCTACCCCTTTGCCGGGCTCAAACCAGCACAGAGCTTCCCGGGCAGATACAACAAGGCACTTCTATATCTTTTTACTCATATTATTGTTATTATTCAGAGCAGAGATGATATCCCCAGGCTTTAAAGTGCTTTCCCAGCCCATGGCGGGCGCGGGGCCGCCGGGGATGGCTGCAGCAGCCGGAGTGGAGGATCACATCTGCCTTCACGCTCGGCCGCCAGCACGGCCCATCCCCGGCCCCGGGAGCAGGACGGGCTCTGGGTGCTCGTCTTGGTTTGAAAGGACAGGAGTCTGTGGAGGAAGGCAAGAGCCTCCTGTGAAATGGAAAAGGTAAAACCCCTCCCTCTGAATTACCGCAATTTTAAAAAAGGCTCTCAGGCAAAGAGATGGGAATAACAGTTCTTTACTAGGGAAAAAAAACTAAATAATAATAATAATAATAATAATAATAATAATAATAATTTTTAAAATGTAATTATTACAAACAAAACTAGTGATAGAGTCAGAAAGCTGACACCCTGAGCAGTCAGGGTGTTGGTGATAGTCCAGTGAAATGTGGCTGCTCCTCCTGGAGGGGCAGATGAAATGCTGCTGAAGGGTGAAATCTGTACAAGGGTGGAGTTTTCTCTGAAGGTCTGGTGATGGAGTAGATGGGCCTGGTCTTCCTCTGGGGATCCAGCGGGGAAGAAGCTGCTCCTCTGAGAATCCAGCGAAGTTGCTGCCCTGGTGTCCCAAAAAATGCTGATTTTATGCAGGTAGGAATGCTTGGCTCCTCCCTCTGGGTGGAGCATCTCCCAATGGGATGATGGAACTTCACCAGCCATGCAGTGAATCATCAATGGTCCATTAACAGAAGATATCTCCCCAGAGGGAGACATTGTTCTTGGAAGAGATAAGAAAACTGCCCAACCTCCAAGGATGGCAAATAGAATACATGCTGATCTTACAAGCCAGGACAATGCTCCGCTGGTGCTGATGGAGTCGGGGTGGATGCCAGTGTCACCTGCCCCGGGGTTTTTGGCCGCCCAAATGTCACCGAGGGAAGGTGTAGCAATTATCTGAGCAATGACAGCCTGCGCTGGGTATTTCACTCGTAACTGCTCTTATCAGGGTTTTTTCAGGGCCCTCTAGAATTCATTAAGGTTAGTAAGACATAAACTGTGCTAAAATAAGGAAGAAGAAAAGAAACTGAATTCCAAGACCACAAGAAAGAGGTGATAGGGAGCGGTGAGACTGTGACCAAGCACATGCTCTGAGCAGCGCACGCAGAACGTGTGGACGAGCAAAGACACCGGGGAGAAATGCGTCATCAGCGTGCACAGTAGAGTTAAAATGTATAAATAAGTCCATAATATAAACAATAAACTCTTCTACTGAATCAAATTGACTAAGCAGAGTCCTGGATTTCCCAGGGGAGGGTGGCACGAAGCCAGCGGTGCCCAGCCCGGCGGCGTGGCCTCTGTCGCTCAGCCGCTCAGGGAGGAGCTGCTCCGCTCCAGCCCCGTCCATGCCACCACCCAGCCCTCCCAGAGGGCTCTCCCAGCCCTCGGCCGGGTTGTCCCCGGGAGTGGCAGCTGGGTTGTCACCCGGCGGTGCCAGCGCGGGGGTGACGCGAGGTCGGGCACGCGATGGGCTGGGGAGAGCTGGGTCAGTGTGTGGAGCCAGCCCTGGGCTTTCCCAGGGCTCTTTAATCTGCTTTAATCCTGGTTGCTGGACCAGCAGTGGGGGGATGGATGGGCCATCCCTTCCCACAGCCACTCGCAGGGAAGTTTAATTGCCTGCAAAAAGGAGAAGGGAGATTCCCCAGCCTTCCCTGGCAGCTCATTTGTTTCAGCACTTTAACAATTGCTCATTTAATGCTTTATCCATCGGGGAACCACTCACTCACCACTGGGGAGGAGGAAGATCCTGCAGCCAGCTGAGGAATGGGCTGGTGCAGGAGGGCAGGAGTTTTGTTAATAAAATTTATGTTATTTGATCAATAAAAATTATTTTGTTTTATTGACAAAATTCCTTACTGCCAGCATCTTCCGGCAACCAGCGAGGCTTGCTTGGACAAACCCATCCCCATCCCAGCCCCATAGGTGAGGCAATTATCTAAGACCTATAAAAGAGGGAGGAAAAAACCCCATTTTCTGCTTTAATCCACACTTATTCTTTGCTTTAAGATTTTTAGTGCGTGTGTTGATGCCCGGAGCAGTTGTATGGGGTGGAGGCTGGAGGGATGCTCGGGATACAGCAGCAGGAACCACTGGAAACTGGGATGCAGCCCTTGGTGGGCAGGGAAACGGCAGGAGGGGCTGCCTGCCCCTGCTGCCCCCATCCCACATTCCTCCCTCCATCCCATCCTCCCATCCCTCCATCCCATCCTCTCCTCCCTCCATCCCATCCTCCCCTCCCTCCATCCCATCCTCCCATCCCTCCATCCCATCCTCTCCTCCCTCCATCCCATCCTCCCCTCCCTCCATCCCAGCCTCTCCTCCCTCCATCTCATCCTCTCCTCCCTCCATCCCATCCTCCCATCCCTCCATCCCATCCTCCCCTCCCTCCATCTCATCCTCTCCTCCCTCCATCCCATCCTCCCCTCCCTCCATCCCATCCTCCCATCCCTCCATCCCATCCTCTCTTCCCTCCATCCCATCCTCTCCTCCCTCCATCCCATCCTCTCCTCCCTCCATCCCATCCTCCCATCCCTCCATCCCATCCTCCCATCCCTCCATCCCATCCTCCCCTGCCCACCCCAGGCTGTGTCCCAGCCATGGGAGCAGGGACTCCGCCTCCTCCTCGCAGGAGCATCCTCGGAGCCGCCGGTGCTCGGCTTTGCCGGGAACGCTTTGCTGAGGCTTAACACGTCGCGGGAGCCGTGCGGGGGGAGCGGGGCCTGCCTGGCTTTTCACATGCCCGGGGGTCATGGTGCCTCCCAAAATAAACCCGCTGAGCTTCACGCGGCCTTTGCGTGGCGGCACGTGGGCCGGGAGAGCGGCGAGCACGGGGGGCAGGGCGAGGGGAGCCCCGGGAAAAGGTGCGGGACAGGATCCCGGCTGGCTGCGGGGGGATGAACCGCGGGGCTGCATCCCCGGCCCCGCGGCTCCCCGCTCCGGCGGGGATCCTGCTGGCCCGTGGGATGAGCGCCGGTGCATCCTTGCCGGGCAGGGAAACGGCAGGAGGGGCTGCCTGCCGCTGCTGCCCCAGCTCGGCCTCTCATCCCTCCATCCCGGGCTCTCATCCCTCCATCGCGGCCTCTCATCCCTCCATCCCGCCTCTCACCTCCATCCCGCCTCTCACCCCCATCCCGGCTTCTCACCCCCATCCCAGCCTCCCCTCCCTCCATCCCATCCCTCCATCCCATTCTCTCTTCCCTCCATCCCAT